TCTCTCTCTCTCTCTCTCTCTCTCTCTCTCCCATGACTGTTGCAGAGGTATTGATTATTTTGGATTCTGATTATCTAAAAGGCCTTCTGCTACTGTTGGCATTGGATTTATTTTGGTTTAATTATTAATGGGGCTGAGTTTACAGTAAGCATTCACCTTCTATCAGATCATGACGGATTACACGGTTAATATTCAGCAGCGTATATTTATTTATGTGTGTACTACGCTGTGTATATGAGTGTTGGCAGGCCTCTAAAGCGTCTCTCTCTCTCGTTCTCTTTGTCTCTGTAGAGGGAGCTAAATTCAGTGGCGGCACAACTAGCAGGCCGACAGGAAGAGAGCGAGGACTCCCATAAGCACCTGGTGGAACTGAGCCGGGAATTCAAGAAAAATGTCCCAGAGGTGAGTGGGAGAGCGAGAAATAGTTTAGTGTGTGTGAGATGTTCATCTAGTCAGTTTCATGCTGATAGACCCTTTTAAGGTTTTCTTGACCTTACCTGAGATGGAAACCGAGTTTGGGTTCAAGGCTTTGACCCTCATATGAGCTTCGGTTTGTTTGCTCCTCCACTCATTTTCTGTCTTTCTTCTGTTGTCTTGAAAACTTCCTCCCCTTCTCATATTTCAGAACTTTTTGAGCCAATCAACTGATCCGTAAATGCCATGTGACTAATTATTCTGGAACAGCTGGAAAATGACATCATGATAAAACTGATCAGCTGATTTTGACACTTTTGTATGTTGTGTAAATACATTTGTTTACATATTTAAATTATTTACATATTTATTGTAATTTACATGCATTTATTCATTACTATATAACATAATTTACAAAAAAAATCAATTTAATCTTTCAAGATATGTTTACTATAATATAATAAAGCATTATTTATGATATACACTACCATTCAAAAGTTTAAGGTCAGAAAGTTTTTTTTAAGAAGTTAAAATTTGATTCAGCAAGAACACATTAAATTGCTCAAAAATTACAGTAAATACATTTATAATGTCACAAAAGATTTCCATTTCAAATAATGCTGTTCTTTTTAACTCTCTGTTCATTAAGCAGTTCAGAAAAAAATGTATCACGATTTCCACAAAAATATGAGGCAGCACAACTGTTTTTAACATAGATAATAATCAGAAATGTTTCTTGAGCACCAAATCAGCATATTAGAATGATTTCTGAAGGATCATGTGACACTGAAGACTGGAGTAATGATGCTGAAAATACAGCTTTGATCACAGGAATAAATAACATTTTACAATATCTTCAAATAGAAACCAGATTTTTAAAATTGCAATAACATTTCACATTATTACTGATTTTACTGTATTTTTGATCAAATAAATGCAGCCTTGGTGAGCATAAAAGTCTTTCAGGAACATAAAAACCCCAAACTTTTGCTTAAAAGTTCCCAAAATTTTCTTTTAAAATATTTTTTGAAAGGTCAACAATAAATATTTTCGGAAACCAGATACCGTGAAACGCTGTAGCTACGGCATCTACCAGAAGGGGCTTTGCGTCTCCGCCCCTTCCACTTTCTGCTCCTCCCCTCTTGACATTCCTCTTTTTCTGTCTCCTCCCCTGTCTTCTTTGCCCCTCCCTTTTTTGCTCCCTCTCATTTTCATTCCCACCCCTCAACTTCTCCTCTTCCAGTATGAGCCATTGCTAGCTAATATTCCCAAGCTTGTATCTAGTTTCTCTAGTTTCATAAAGCTCAGATAGTTCTGTATCTGCCAGACTGTCACTCGGTGTGCCTATCTCACTGAAGACATACAAACCCATGCGTCCCTCCAGTATCAGCACTAATAGTGTAACACAGAGTATCTGCTGTTTATTGACGTTACTTGTCACATCCAGCCCAGAACAGGCAGACATCAGCATTTAATCTTCCAGAACCTTCAGCAAAACCTTTCAGAAAATGAGCCGCTCGTTCCCATGGAGGAAAATCCTCCGCCGAACGTCTTTAAGTTCAAGTCCCTCTCCGTTTAAATTCCCGTCACTCTAATCCGGAGCTGCGCCTCCGATTCCTCTTCAGGTAAAGGTGACGGCGGGAGGAATGCTTGTCACGCATCTCTCATTATACGCGCTTTGACATTTTACATTTTTCCTCTTTAGCGGCCTTCCTTTTTCCGAGGCTGCGCTTGAAGCTTCGACACGATCCGGCGTCAGACCTCTCGACTCAGAAGCCCAACTCCTCGTTTGCTCTCCACTTGACACAAATGTCATCAGTGACAATCAGAATTGACAAGATTAGCAAACGTCTGGAGCGAATGGGGTTCGTGCTAGCTGTATCGTTAAAGATTGTGGCGTAATTGAACATAAACAAAGCGGCAGTAATGGATTGACAGGAGAATCAGACGAGTTATTTGTGTTAATGGAGAAGTTATTATTGTCTTCAGCCGAAGGTTCTCGGTTCAATACAACATCTACTAACAACAAATGTGGCGTACTGTTGATTACCACAGACAGTCATTTTTTTATTTATTTACAATACTAATACACATACAATGGAAGTCTGTTGGTGAAAACAGTGGTTTAAAACTCATACATTTGTTAAAGTACTTGGATGTTTGTACAGATTTAATGTTATTTGAGCTGAATTTTCATCCCTTTCAGTAGTAGGACTACTGGTTTAGGTGGATGAACTTCTGGTTATGTATTACAAGTGTAATTCAGTGTGATTTTTCTCTTGAAATATTGCATTCAAGTCTGTAGTGACAAAGTCAGTAAGTGTCTCTGTCATACTAGTCTCATTGTTAACATGTATGTTGTTCAAGGTTAAATGTTGTTTAACATTCATCCTGGTGAAATTATTTGACTCATAGACAACTGAAGCTGTACACCAATGTTATTTTAGTATATTGATATACTATTATACAGTAGTTTTTGATAATATTTGGAATTAGATTCTATTTTTATATGTATTGTATACAAACCCATGCGTCCCTCCAGTATCAGCACTAATAGTGTAACACAGAGTATCTGCTGTTTATTGACGTTACTTGTCACATCCAGCCCAGAACAGGCAGACATCAGCATTTAATCTTCCAGAACCTTCAGCAAAACCTTTCAGAAAATGAGCCGCTCGTTCCCATGGAGGAAAATCCTCCGCCGAACGTATTTAAGTTCAAGTCCCTCTAATCCGGAGCTGCGCCTCCGATTCCTCTTCAGGTAAAGGTGACGACGCGAGGAATGCTTGTCACGCGTCTCTCATTATACGCGCTTTGACATTTTACATTTTTCCTCGTTAGCGGCCTTCCTTTTTCCGAGGCTGCGCTTGAAGCTTCGACACGATCCGGCGTCAGACCTCTCGACTCAGAAGCCCAACTCCTCGTTTGCTCTCCACTTGACACAAATGTCATCAGTGACAATCAGAATTTACAAGATTAGCAAACGTCATGCTAGCCGTATCGTTAAAGATTGGGGCGTAATTGATAATAAACAAAGCGTCAGTAATGGATTGACAGGAGAATCAGATGAGTTATTTGTGTTAATGTAGGGTGACCATACGTGCCACTTTCCCAGGACGCATCCTGGCCAGGATTTGTTTTGGCTTTGTTTTCCTGTTTTCATGCTTGCTGAAGGTAATGATCGAAAAGTAGTTTGACCAATAACATGCAAGCATTGTACATAATGGACCAATGGCGTGTGAGAAGGTGGGATCTACAGTCAAAGCGATGCAATTACGCGTACATATTAGGTGTGTTCGACTTAAAAACAGCACGGCTCAGACCGATCAGTGTTTGACATCAAAGTAACTCGAGAGCGTTTCGAAAGCATAACCGTCTGTACACTGAAAAAAAAGATTTTGTGGTGTTGTAAAATATATTAAATTAATCATCATAAATTCTACTTGTAATATT